GATAGATAGATAGATAGATAGATAGATAGATAGATAGATAGATAGATAGATAGATAGATATCTGTTCAACTATATAATATGGTGAAAAATAAATGTAATTTTGGGGGGGAAAGGAAATAGTTTTTCTTCAAGAAATAGAATTGAAAACAAAGAACTGGCCCATGAATAAAATAGGTTATTTTTATTCATTCAGCAGATAAGCCTTGTGACTAACAGGTCTTCTACTTGTAGCATAAAGCTATGGATAACAAAATTAAAAATAACTTTCTGTGGCAATTAGGGATTTAAATGCTGGGGTCTATGGTCATTTTGAGCACTTCTTCTCTATAATGGTCCATCCTATGCTTTGATGTTTCCTTGTTTATTTCCTTGTTTAGATGCAACAGTCTCATGGGTCAGCTTGACAGTAATACTCAACATGGTTCTTTCATAGAAGCTGGCCTTTTTTTAACACATTGCTTGGGTGGCAATGGAAGGACTTGCTCTATTTTGGACCTCATGGCTCATGTTAGCTGTACCATTTTGTGTGGAGTTTTGATGATATTGTTAGCAGAATATTAGTGTGGTCTGAAACCCACTCAGAAAAGCAGTCAACAGACAGTGGTAGCATTTATCATCACAACTGAATGTTGCAAGACATAGGACTAGAATCTTGCAGTGGAATTGAGAAGTCCTTCCTCCAAAATCACAGAAGAGCTATGAACATAGCAGCTCCCTCCATCACTAGTAAAATTGGCTGCTCTGAAGACAACCTGCTCCCAGGAGGACATGACATGGAATGGAGCCTTACATCCTGAGTGACCTAGCTAAATCCTCTTAAGCAGAGTTGGCAAACACAGGGACATTGCATGAATGCTCTCACCCTAACCTTATAAAAGAAAACATGAAATAGGCAGATGTAATCAAATGGTAAAGTACCAAGATCAGATAGTTGGGTCAAGAAGCATATTTTTATTTTCTCTCTAAAACACACAAAAAACATGGAGCCCAGTGCACATTCCCAGGACAGGAAAATGATCGCCATAATGGTACTATTGAAGAAACTATTTTTAAAGGAATCCCTTCATGGATTATTCTCACTCTCAGATTCACAAGTTTTGATTCACAGTTTTTTTACCTGGCCTAAAAAAAATAGTAGAGCAAGGCAGGCACTCAAAAGAGTCCTAAAATATTGATGAATTTGGTGAGCCCCCCAAAGTTTGATAGAAGCATTCCCAATCATGTTTCCCATAAAGTCCTATATATGGTATCTTGCCCCAAACTATATGTTAGGGTTTTCAATATAAGGAATGAACTTCCCCATTATTTCATATTTTTTCATTATTTTGAGTCAGACGTGGCTCCTGGTAACCATATGCAATCTTCTAGGCAACATGTTTGGAAATGGTTTGTGGTTCTTTTTCCTAGGACTAAGAGAAGATGTTAAAGTTACTGAGTTGACTTCCATGACTGAGGCAAGAGTAGAACTCAGATTTTTCTACTGGTCTACTGCTATAATTCAACTGAGACTCAGCTCTTTCATACCTACATCCACACTTAAGTTAAACTTGGGTTTATTCTCAAATTGCACAAAACCTGTATAGGACAGATATATAGATAGTTTTCAACATATGACCACAACTGAAACTAGAATTTCCATCATAAGTAAAGCCAGACCCAATTTTTCTGACCATTATTACATTTTTGGTCCCTTATTTGATGCATTATGAATACTGAAAAATCTAAAATGCAGTGGTTGATAGACTTACTATTATTCCTGGATAATAGCCTCCCACAGTTACATTTTCAGTTCTTGTGGTTGCTGCAAGTCCTATGGTCAGTATGAAAATAGACACTACCAAAAGGGCGACTGTGAACCAAAGAGATGTTTTCTTTCTTTTTGTGAAGTGCCCTGTGAAAAACACACATTGTAAATGCATATTAAAATACACTAATCTCAAAGGAGAGGTGAGTCTGCTTCATTCATACGCAACCCTCTTAACAAGAAACTTGATGTCAACCTTCTTAGACAGTCTCAGCTTAAAAACAGCAACTTCTAATTAGAAGTATCTTATCTCTGAAATTAGGTTCCTATATGAATGGATGTTAGCTTAGGAGGCCTTTTTCTGCTGAAGGCTGACTTCATTTGATAGTCGAGTCAAGTACTGTACTGAGCTGCCCGACAGCCCACTTGGGGAATTCTGGGAGCTGAAGTCCACATCTTTTAAAGTTCCCCAAATTGGGAAACCCCACACTAGATGACACAAAGGAAATATGAAACGCTCCAATCCTCTACTAATGGCTCCCTTGGTTTTGCTGTCTACTTGACACTGCTAAGCACGGTGAAATCATTCTTTCTCTGCCACCCCTTTCATTTCTCCCTCCCTCTTCAACTTTCTCTGTCTTTCTTTCTTGGACCTTTTCCTTCTCAAGTAAGAAGTTGTTGGAAAACAGAAAAATGATTTTGTCCTAAGCCTGAACCAACCTAAATGACTTTTGAAATTAGATTGAGAATCAGACCTTGGACAGTTCTATTCCAGGACACATTATGTAATACAAGATATCTATGATTTCATTTCCTCCCCCTTATTTTTTGTGCTGAAATAATACAGAGGATAAACTGGAAGAGTGTCGTAATGCCAGAGGTGAGCTAATACTTTCCTTGTTTCCTAAGATACAGGACTCCTCTAAATCTGCTTTTTATGTGAAAGAGAGAAACATCTAAGGACTTTTTTTAAATCACAAACAGGCTTTTCTACCAGTGATCATAAATCAATGGCTCTGTGTATAGTGAATCAAGGGCAGATTTTTAATTTTTTAAAAAGTATTTCATTAAAAACAAGAGAAAGAAAACATGTATAGTAAAGTCTCTGGGAGTTCTTTCCAGCCCTATTATTCAGCAGTGGCCATAGAAGGTGTCTGTTTTCTTCTCTGTCATGAAGTAATTGTGTTGCATCTATGTGTACAGATGTTCCTCAACTTACAATCATAATGGAGTCTGGAATTTCCATTGTAAGTCATAAATTGAGGTACCCACATGATCGACCTGCCTTTATGAGCTTTTTGTGGCAGTTGTTAAGTCAATGCCATGGTCGTAAAGTGCTTTTTGTCAGAAAGCACTTGAAATTGCGTCATGTGAACGCAGAATGCTACAACCAGCCATAGAGGTGAGCCAGTTGCCAATCAACCAAAATGTGGTTCTGTGACTTTGTGTGTATGTGCATGTGTGTTGCCAATGGCACTCCAGTACAGGGTTGTAGGCAATTTCTGGGGCTGGTGGTGTCTGTCATAACTTTGAAAGTTTGAATGGTTGCTAGGCACCCACTAGCATCCACTACCCAGGTATGTCTTCCATACGGATGTATTGGGCAAATGGATTTCTTTGCCAAGTCTTAAACCTGCTCATTTTCAAAGTCAGTTTTCTATTGCTGGTTCCTTCCTCCCCAGGAAATTTAGTCCCATCTTGTCCAGTTTGTTGAGAATTATTCTACTGCTAGATAAATAGACAGAATCTTGATGGACAGATACGCTCTTTACATATTTTTTCCAAAATTCTTTTAGTTTGGAAATAATTAAAATATGATGATGCACAGAAAATCCAAGATAGTTGGATGGAGAGTAAAGCATGATTCACAGGTTATATATAAGTGAATTAATAATGCAGACTCTTGAGGCAAACATAGTTTTAATTGTTAAGAACCATTCGAAAAGAATACATTTTAAAACATAACAATATTTGACATTTTGACATTTTAAACTTGCAACCTTATGCAAACTTTCTTTGGAGAAAAGGACCCGCTGTGTCACTAGGACTTACTTCTCAATAAACAGAAAAGATTGTGTTGCAAATACTTATCATCAGAGTATTAGCATTTAGAGTGTGAAAGGAAGCCATTTAAGCATTATATCCGGGTGTACAGATTAAATTTGTCTTCATTATTTCTTTAAAACTGGGGGGGGGGGAACAGCTGGAGTGGCCGATTAAACAAAATTATAGCTGGGGAGGTCTTTAAACCCTCTTTGTTTGTCATTAAAAATATGTAAAATGTTAGAAATCCACATATGTCTAAATAATAAAACCATTATTACGTTAGTTTAGGTTATTTGAGAGACTGAAAAGAACTTAAGAAAGGCTAATGGCCTACCCACTGCTGCCTTCCTATTATAAATATCCTTTTCCAAGCTGGTTTCCCTTTCTATGTAAATACTACTAGAAAATTACTGCCTACATTTACATTGGATATTTAGTTTGGCTCTTACAAAAGTAGCATTGCACATAAGGAGATGCAGGAATTCTGGTGATAAACAAAAGTTGTTATATTCTCCTTAGAAACTTAGAAACTTTTAGCATGCTTCGTCTTATACAAGATTTTCAATTAATGCTATTACCAAAGTTGGCATTTTCTTCAAAAATCTGAGAAAACTGAAGCTGAATTTTGAAGTAAAAAAAATTCTTCAGATTTCAGGTGAAATCCTTCACACATTAAAGATAAAATAACCATGCGGAAAAACAAAAGCTGACCTTTCCTTTTCCTAGATCAAGGGTGTCAAACTCAAGGCCCACGGGCCAGATCTGTCCCATGGGGTGCTTAGATCTGGCCTGCAAGGCCACCCTGGAAACAGTGAGGGACTGGCCCACAGTGCCTCTGCCAGAGAAAATGGGTTCCCGAGCTCCATTTCCGGCTGTGACAGCTTCCTGCAACCCTCTGCCAGCGAAAATGGAGGGTTGCAGGAGGCCATCACAGCTGGAAACGGAGCTCAGGAGCCTGTTTTCGCTGGCAGAGCACACAGGCCACCACAGGTGCCCCAAATATGAGTGACATCGAGCTGGCCACACCCACTCTGGCCACACCAATGATGTGTCCCTCAATAAAATTGAGCTTGACACTCCTGTCCTAGATCAATATTCTGCCCTGCAAATTACCACATTCATATTCTGGTTATATCCATGAAGATTCTCATTCCATTATAGTTCACAAGACCAGCTTTATATGATGATAAAACAAGTATGTTTGCAAGTTCCCCAAAATAAGCAAAAGATCAACTATCACAGGTTGTGATGAATTGTTGCTCATTGTTGCTAATTTTGAAAGATATGGAAAGAAAAGATGGTTCATTCCATGGTGAGGAGTTAAATAATCAATGGCCTGTTTATTCCCAATCAACTTTTGCAATAAATCAATGGATTTCTTGGAATGGAAATAGTTCAGGTTTTATTATATATTTGCATTGATACCTTACTAGTATTGATTTCCCATAGGCTGACCGCTTACTATGGATAAATATACCACTAAAGTGTATCCAGCACCTGTCTGTAGCTTTCTTCTTGTACAGTATGAGCCCAGATGCACATTCCTCTTCTTATCATTTCTGAATTGCTTTGACTGCAAGTCTTTTTTGAGATTTTTTTTCCCCCACTCAGAAGTGGGATAAGATCTAAATCTCTATTTATAACAGGAAAACAAACCTCAAAGAAAAGAAAGGCAAGGCAAACACAATCTGCAGTGCATGGTAGTGGTGCCAGGTCTATCTGCAAGTTTCATCACAACATAACAATGTTGCTTTTGACAATCTGACACCCTCTTCCCAACAGATGTCTATGCAAATCCAGGTGATTTCATGCTTGATTTGTATTTATGTGTGTAGAAAAAAAATTGAAACTGAATTGTGATATTCCTGATGCTCGAGGTTATTTCACACAAGAGGAACTTTTATGCAGAATTGCTTCCATATAGGAAGCCCACATCATATTCATCCTACAAATGCAATAAATAGACAGAGATTTAGGCAAGCAGGACACTCCTATGCTTCATGGGAAAGGATAGGAAATGTCATAAATTAAGGTAAAAGTGTACAGTACACCCAATTAAGTGTCATGCTTCAAAGCCACTGGAGACAAGTATGAGCAGGATGTACCTTATCTCTTCTTTCTGGACAATTTACTGGCTCCAGATTCCCTGCGTTTGCAAGTTGGGCACTTTTCTTTGCAGGGAAGGGTGGGTGGGAAATAACGGGGAGGAGATAATTTTTAAAAAATTATCTTTCTTTTTGTTGATGCACTTTGATGACCTGTTCCTCTTTTTGCACCTCTCAGTTGATGAAAATGGAGAGAGAGAGA